GATTTCTGAAGAAGGGTCCAGGCCCGAAACATCAGCTTTCCTGCTCCTCTGATGCTGCTTGGCCTGCTGTGTTCATCCACCTCTACACCTTGTTATCCCAGATTCTCCAGCATTATCAGTTCCTACTATCTCCAACTACATCTACTGTGTTTTAAAATCCCCATTAACCTTGCTTTGGCTGTTGCCCCACTGTTTGATTGTTCTATATTGTAATAAGTGTAATAAGATCAATGTCAACTTGACAACCTCATGGAATGGAGTGGCAATCTGTAAAAAATAAACTGAGATGGCCCCATATCTTTTCACTTGAAATTTGCATCAGTTGTTGTGGACAGTTGACTTTCATTTCATTAACCTGCGTTAGCATGAAACAGGGGTACCAGCATAAAAATACTGTTATAGATGAAGTAGGTTTTGTGAACATAGAGATTTGCAATGTATCCAAAAAGTATCCTATGCAGATTGTTGACCTCTAAGCCCTAATGCCAATATGTGCTCCTGTTGTATAAAATCCCTACTGAAAGATCAATGTTATATCATCTCCTCAATAGCATAGAAACTGCAACCGTCAGTCTGAGATTTAATGTTGAAAATATTTAGTAAAGGATAAAACGTTGCCAAATGACACGTTTCTATAAATGATTTCCACAATTTTTTATTACTTTGAAAGACTGCAATATTGCTATCAGTCAAAAGACCTGAGCCGAAGTCAGTATTGGGGACTTAGCCAATTGAATCAGCCAAGTTCAACAGTTGGAAGGGAGGAGTGATGAAGAACCTTCCTGCCAGTGAAGTTGTGCAGTAGTCTGTAGCCTCATTTGTCAGATCTCCCACATGCATGGAACAGAGTAGCCTAAGTTATAATGGGAGGAGGACATAACCTGATGGAACAGAAACCAGAATCACAGTTGTGCTTTGAGTGTTTGTTTTTCACAGGTTTTCCTACTGTGTAATCTTAATCAAAGCATAGAACTGGAAGGGCTTACATTTGGCTTTGACTTTGTATCCACCCAACGGAGAGGCATGACCTTCGACTGCATCAAAACCAGCTGATACCAAAACCACATCTGGATTGAACTCACTGGCGATTGGCATGACCACAGTCCTGTGGGACAATGATAAAAACTATGAACGAGTCTGGAGTAAATTCTCAACTTCATTCTCACAGCAAGCCACATGGAAAAATTCAGGATCTGCTTTCTTGTTACAAGAAATGTACTTTTCCATAAATTACACAGAGAACCTTGTATTACAATTCCAAATCAGTTGACTATCATTTAAGACTTCAGTTACACAGTCTTTTACTCAAAAAGTTATGAAATGTTATTCTCTGAAATGAATTTTAAAATTTTGAGCAGCCAACGTTATATTATCATTCTATAAATTCTTAACTGACAAACCATGTTCTTTACCAAAAACAAGTTAAAAAATTATTAATGCAAACAAATGTGATAGGCCCTGAAACCCATTGCTGTATCTTGGAGTCAAATTCATTATTTTTATGAGCTGATCTATCTTCACTCATTATCAAAGTCATACCTCATTACTATTCATGCTTCCCCTATTTACTTCTCATCTAGATCCATCTTCTGTTTATTTTTCTTTTTGTCCAGTTGATATCTCCTTTTGCCTTGTGCCATCACCCTTTTGGAATTTAATCTTTGTAGCTCTGTCACAGATTTTCAATGCTGTTCTTCCTCTCCATTCATCACACTGCACCTTTCTCTGCCATTGTATTTCCTTAAATTGATACATTTCTAACCTTTTGCAATTCTGATGAAAGGGCCAAACCTGAAGTGTAGACTCTGTTTCTCTCAATGGAAGCTGTCAGATCCATTGAATATTTCTGACACTTTGTGAAGTTTTTATTTTAATTTTTATTTCAAACATAATTCTACATACCTCTTTTAAAATCTTTTCTAATATATTTCAAGTGTTTTTCCAAACGTGGAAGTAACCTGGTAAGGCTCCATTTCCACAATTAGTGACAGAACACATTTTGGAGAAGAGGTTATCACATTACAGGGATGAATCCACAGCCTGTTCTTCTGTCTAAATAGGCTCAGCTGTGGTAAAGCAGAATGGCAAAATCATCCCTTGTATATATCAATTCAATGAAATCGTTCCTTCGATATTGACTGTAAATTAAAATTGCTACATTCAATTTCAAATGATTTGAAATGTCTTATGTCATTCTATCTCAATGACAATTTGCATTTCAAAAAGTTTACAATTTAGCAACAATATCAATTATGCCTGTTGATGGGATCATGTAAGGGTTTGAAAAAGCACATAATAACTGAGAAATTTTGGGCAGTAATATAACAAAAACAGATTATTCTCCTTGGGCTGGAACTCTACCTACAAATATCATTCTCCCTCTCCTTCTCTCCTTTCTTCGTATTTTTCCTTTTACCTCTAACTCTGTTTTCTTCATCCTGCCTTCATCTGTTCCCTCTTTCTTTCCTGTTCCCTATTGCCATTCCTTACTCAATGTCGCTCTGTCCCCTTATCCACTATGGCCCATTTTCTTCTTTGCTCCCTAATCCTGTTGGGTTTGAATTTCGATTTGAAGCTCCATTTAGAATATCATATGAGTTTGATTAACCCTTAAAATTTCAATGCGATATGTAAATGTTAACAGATGAATGACATCACTTATTGGTGGAATTCTCAGCAATAATGGAAGACTGCTGACTATTAAAATGTAGCAGCAAAATCTCTGAATTATGGTCTGGGAAACAGGGATTATTACATGTGGGACTGTTTGCTGAAATGGCGAATCAGTGGAGTTAAAATATTTCTGCAGGGGTTCTGCTGGTCTCCTGCAGTTCCCTCAGTGGGAGACTGGCAGACTCCCAGAGAAATGGTGTAAATGGCTGAAAATGACTGCTTATGTCATTTCTCTGGGGCTCCTTTAGGTCGGCTGCCAAATTTACAGCAGCAGATTAGAGGTAGCTCTGCAAAATTTCAGGGTCCTGGCTTTGTTCAATTGAGAATATTAAAATAAATGATTCTGATGCAAAAGAAACAAAAAATGTGTTTGGTATTCTTACTATTGTTTTTGATGCAAAGTAACATTGCAATTAAATCAGTACAAAACTAGCATTATAATTCAGGAAACATGTCATTGATTCCAAGTCATAGCATAGCTAATAGATGTGAGCACCTTTTCAGGAGATAGTTATAGTCTTTGAACCTTGAATCCCGGCCATTATATAGCTGCAATCTATTTGATTCCACATTTTAAAGTTAAATTAGACCATGGAGGATCCTTGACCTTAACGTTCATTACTTGTAACATTAGCAGTCTGTTGGCTGTCTCCAACTAATCACGTTTAATCAGATTTCAGAGGCTATTGAGCACATTTTGGCAGAAATGTGGAAGTGGAAATGTCCAAAGCTCCACTGTCACTAGCAAGACATTGACTTGAGAGCCACCAAATTACTGAGATCTATTGACTCTTCTCTACAGCTACCTATTGGAGATCAGTATTTGTAATAAACTGCCTAAAATCACCATTAAAATGGTATGGCTTTCAGCAAGGTGGGAACTACTATGCAATAGGAAGCTTTGAGTTGATTAATAAAAAGAAATGTTAGTGTTAGGTTAAGTGTACACAAGTGTCGTTTTACAAACATATGCTTCTGGTACAGAGCCTTGTGCACTGTACATGTGCATCTGGAATTCAGACATGGATCTAAACAGAACTGGCTTAATTTTCGTTTATTTACAGAAATGGGAAGCATCACACCAGGAATGCCATTTGGAGGATCTGCCCAAAGAAGTATTTAAAATTAGATTTAGATCTGTCACACAACAGAAGCCTTGAAGAAAACCTGTTTTGATAAATTTATCCTCGGTCTGAGAGGTATTCTATAGATTCACTCATTCAGACAAGCAGATTCAATGCAGACACACTCCTGTGATGCTGAGCAGAAGAATCCCCATGGAGTGCATCTACTAACAGGCATTGAGTTTCATAGAGTTCTTTTAATATGTGCCAATTGAGAGCTGTTATTTTATTCCTGAACCTGGCCTGCTGAGTTTTACTGTTGGTCCTAAACAGACTTTGAATGACCTTTGACAGACTTATAATGCATAGTATAGTCCCCTTTGATGTGTGTTTATAGCATGGAAACAATTTCTAATTACAGATTGATTTACTTTATGATCATTATAAATAAAGCTAGGTGGGGGCATTCTAAGGATGAGTTACCCAGGAAGATTTCACCTTAAGGAAGTGAGTTTCATCAATGAATAAAACTGCAAAGACTGAAGATGTTTTAAGTTATTAAAGCTTGTTTAAAACTATTTTCAATGGCTTCCTCAGAGCTCATGAAATATGCATATTATAAGTAGTCCGCCACACCATTCCAGCCCGGTCAAAGATCACCACCCAGTTAGTGCCATCTCCTGGATCTGGAGGACTGGGCTGCCATGCAGAAAGTTAAATTACTTTCTCTGCTTTGCCAGAGTAAATGTCAGAGTCTTGTTATCTCATCTTTGCTCTATCCCTGCCACTGAACCCAATCCCCACCAAGGCTCATGGTCTGATATTCCCTCTGATGCATGCAAAACCCTTCCCTTTGCTAGGCCCCATTCTCTCACACCACTAATCCTCTACGTCTTCCACACTGCCTCCTCACTCTTTCAGAACATCTCAAAACCTTCATTCCATGTTCCCCAGTCATCACAGCCATGCCACCCACTTGTGTCTTTCTGATTCACCCCCTTTTTGTAATTATAAGAGAAGATATTCCATAACAGCGAATTGCAATGCTGGAGATGTGGGAGGGATTTGGTGCCCAAAATCTGTGTCCTCATTCCTTACAAGGAGAGAATCTCCCCCAGGGCAGCTCCCAAGGCCAAGTACAAGAACTCATAAGCAGAGATAAGAGTAGTTTTGAAAAAGAATATCTTAAATTATTCTCAGGTTGAGGTAAACCTAACATAGAATATAACAGCATGTTAAGAAGAGATGTTGATTCATTGTGTGTACACATCTGTGAAGAAATTCATTCCTTTAATACAGCAACTAAAAAAAATCAATTACAGAGATGACAAGCATAAGTGTCATCTCACAGAAGACAAAGGCTAGTGTGAGGGCATGGTTATTGTACCAAAGTTTGATCAGAAAATATGTTGATCTTTCAAAATTTAATAAGGCAGCTGCTAGAGAAAGCCCTGCCATGGCTACAGTGGATTTAAGCTTATCCAAACTCTCTAAAAGCAACATCTTCACTAAACATTATGTTAACAGTAGTTTCTGACAGGTTCCCTCAGATGGAAAATTCATATTGCCTATCATGACTATCACTGTTTGGGAAATATAGTTTTAGTAAATTTCATTTTGAAATTGCCTTGACTCCAAAGATCTTCTATTTTCAACATGACAGGGATTGGACTGGTTTTATGTCATAAGGACAACATCCTGACCCATGCAGAAAACACAGAAAGTCATGACCAAAGAGTATGTACAGCCTTGATAAGGGCAGGTAGCAGGGCTTATGCTCATTGAGAAATGAGAGATCTCCAAATACTCTACTCAATTCCTGGGAGATTTCATTAAAAACTGTTGGTATGAAACTAACTCCTCAAAATACAAAGGGACTAAAGGAGTTTCTGACTCTGAAGTTAGTACATGACTTACAAAGATTTCTGGGAATAGTAAACCATTTAGAAAAATGCTTAGCCCACTTTCCAACTATCACTGGACCTTGATAACTGATTCAAAAAGTCTCAAGGATGTGTCAGAAGTCACGTCACAAAGAAGCCTTTTAAAAGATCAAGACAGGAGGACTTCCACAGATGTCATGGCCACTACATTAGTCTATTCTCAATTATTACTGCAGTGGATGTCTCAGCCACAGGTAACGATGTAATTTTTTGTCAAGAATAGTCAGAAGGAGACAGAAAACTGACATATTAGGCATCCCAACCAATATCTGATGTGGAAACTCAATGTGTAGTTATTGAGAAGTTTGCCCATTCAGATACATGGGCCTATGATAAATTTTCAGATTTCACACTGGGTCTCATGGTTCTTATTGAGACCATTTATAAACCACTGGTCTTGCTATTAGAGGAAAAGAATTGACAAA